CATGTTGGGGGAGTTTTCCCATGGATCGTAGTCGAATAAGGCCACCATTCTTCTAACAATCACATCTTCACGAATGCTGCCAGCATCGCTTAGCTCTGGTGTTAAAGACATACCTGTTTTGCAGAAAATGTTGAAATTAAATTTTGAAATTAAAACAAGAGTAAAATAAAGAAGAAGAAGAAGAAGAAGAAGAAGAAGAAGAAGAAGAAGAAGAAGAAGGAGAAGAAGAAGAAGAAGAAGAAGAAGAAGAGGAAGAAGAAGAAGAAGAAGAAGAAGAAGAAGGAAAAAAAAAAGTAGAGAAGATGTATTTAAATCTTAAGCTTTGCCTTATAAACCCACAAAGACAAAATGCTAATTTTTTTTTTTTTTTGTAACCACTTCCTACATAAAGCAAACTGCTCTAAGCTAACCTTGCACATGAGCACAGAGGAACTGGAAGAGGGTTTAGCTCTAATCAGATTTTTCCAGCCAACAACATTAAAGATACTTGAGTGCAAAATGAGTTTTTTCTGATTTAGGCTCATTTTCTCTCTATTGTCTGTCACAGTCTGATCTTCTTGCAGAAAATGAAGCATTGGTACCTGCGTGATCCACAGGCAGGAAACCCTGCTGCATGAGAACGTGCTTCAGGTACTCGTCGTCCACTGGGACTTCAGCCACCATGTTGCTTGGCACGTAGCCGGAGAGACCACCGGACTCTCCATGGTAGAAACCGTCAGAGTCCTTGTCTCCACACACCTGGAGAGGCACACAGACCGCACGTCTCACCACTTTGTTCAAATACTAATGTGTTGCACTTGTTTAGGTTGCTTTTTCAGAACATTGTCAGGTTGCTAATTTTGCTAAGGTGTTTCTCCTGACTTTCTGACAGGTAGTAAAATTATTAATGTTCTGAAGTGGCCCAGTTAAAGTTTTAAAAATGTTTATTTTAGCATATAGCGACAAAGAGGCCTTCCACATTAAAAGACTCGAAACGCAATACTGAACATGAATTACTGACTGTGACAGCTGACCCTACTGTCACACAGACCTGAATGGTAATCATTTTGTTTGTTTTTATCCTTTACATTAATCTAGACATTAATTAGTGAATAGTTTAGATTTTTGTTAAAAATTATTTTCATTAGTCTGACTTTTTTGGTTAACTGTTTGGAGTGCACACATTTAGTTAACCTTATTTGTCAGTTCTTTATATTTTTGTTGAAAGCAACAAATTAATTTATTTGTTTTGAGTTCCCAGTTTCCTTTGGAGCTGCTCCTGGAGGGTCACAGAAGAGCTCCAGCTAATTGACGTCCTTCTATGGCTGGCAAACCTCCTCAGCAGGCCGTTCCATTTGTTTGCCAGGGAATGGGGAAATTTGGTTTTCTTTAATATAATTTGACCATTTCTTTAATGCTTTTTCTATTTGGTAGTTTCAGTCTGTTTGTTTAATTTAAAGATTTGGTATTGTATTTGTTTAAGTTTTTGCATGTTTAAATTACCCCTTGTGTGTCAGCAGTGGTCTGATCAGCCACTATTTAAGTTCCCCTCATGTCTTGTTTGTGAGGTCAGTTTTGTGCTTGAGTTCTTTGTGTTACCACCTGAGTTGTAGTTTGTTATGTTGACCTCAGTTTTGGGCCCAATTCTTCATTGTTTGATTATTTTTGAACTTTTTTGTAATAAATTAAGATTATTTTTTGAATCCCATTCAGCGTCTCTCTGGCTGGTTAATGTGAGAACCCTCACACTGACGTACCATTTAAAACATGCAAAAAGCGGAGTTTGATTGCCGTTTGAAGAAATTGACCTCATTTTTTCATTCACATGTAAATAAAAACATAATTAGAAAACTCACACTGTTACATTGTTTTTCTATCTTTGTAAAAATGCCCATCTTATTTAATGTGGAAAAACAAACAAAGCAAAGTTGCTCTAAAAGTTGCATTGAAAGTCCATTAAAAATGCCAACTTTGCATTAAATTATCATAATTTACAAAATCATGTAAAGTTGGCACTTTTAATGGACTTTTAGTGCAACTTTTACAGCAACTTTGCATTAAAAGTGTTATTATTTACTGAATAACATTTCATGACAACTGTCATAAACATTCATAAAGACTTCTTTATGTTCATGACAGATGTTATGTCATGTTTATGACAGTGTCGTGTCAGTATTATGTACACCCCTTCAAATAAAGTGTTACCGAATGTTCTAATACTGTTAGAAATACCGGTGTGTGCGTGTGTGTGTGTGTGTAGGTGTGTGTGTGTGTGTGTGTGTGCGTGGGTGAGACCGAGAACTGAGTGAAAAAAGGCGGCAAGTCACCTAAATGAGCAGCAAAAAAAAAAGAAAAAAAAACAGTTACAGGAACTCAAGAGAAGAGTTCATGTCTCTGTACATGTTCAGTGGGTCTGCACAAACAGGAAATAGCAGCAGCATGTAATTTCAAAGAAACCTCTTTGCAGATTGAAAATGAGGAAGCACAACACACATTGCAGAGAATCACTAAAACATAAAACCTTTTATGGCGGTGAAGCGTCTTTACCTTGATGATCTGGCCTGGCACGAAGGGCAACTCCTCCGCCGCCGTGTCGGGGTTGGGAGACATGGCGGCCGGGTTGTACGGGTAAAGCGCCACAAAGAGTCGAACGGTGGGGATGGAGACCTGGCTGGCGGTCTCCAGGTCCCACTGCCTGAGGTCCTCCGGGGTGGCGACCCTCACCTCGTCAGGGTATATCAACACATCCAGCTCTAGTCTGGTCTCCATCGGCGGCGGCAGCTCCCAACCGTCCACCTGGCAGACAGATGGCTGCTGTAGACAGCAGACCTCTCTTTAGCTTCATCCTAATTTGAGGTAACTAAGCTAAGCAGAAGGAGCTGTAATCCTCTTTGAAGCAAGTAGATGAATTCATTAGTTCAGCAAAGACTGTTCAGTAAGACTGCAGTTTGAAAACAAATGAGAGGGAAGACTTCAATTGAAAGCATCTAGTCAATGATCTACCTTTTTCTTTGCATCTTAGAGGCAACAAGAAGGTAAATGTGGAGTATGTAGTGACCGTTTAGGAGTTCTTTACATTAATACTGAACAAAGAACTGTTTAAGAAATAAAATTAAATAACTTCCAATCAATTCTATGATGAGTCAAGCAAAATTATTCAATCTGAACTGTTTGTCTGCAGTAAACATGACAGTGTGAATACTTTGCCTTGATTAGGGCCATTTTTTAAACTCTTCCACTTCCTGCTTACATGGCTTGACCCAGTTTACAGGCCCTGGAAAATAAACACTTCCTCTCTTGACCTTTAGTCGGCAGGGCAGGTGACAAGCTGCTCCTAAAAGAAACAAAAGTTTTGACAGGTTCTGTGATGGATGGACTGAAATGTAAAAGGAAAACTGATTTTGAAAGATCTGGGTTGGACATGTCCGACTTGTTTTCCCACACACATACAGCGCCTTGAACGTTACAACATTTTTGTCATGTTTCAATCATAGACCTCAATGTGCTTTATGGTGATTTCATATAATAGGCCAACACAAGCTAACAGATAATCGTTAATTGTATTGGCTTCAAAATTTATTCATAGTCAATGTTCAAGAGGAACTCAGGAAAAATAGACTAGCCTAGCCTAGGTTAAGCTAGGCTGTGCTAGACTAGGCTAGAATAGAATAGAATAGAATAGAATAGAATAGAATAGAATAGAATAGAATAGAATAGAATAGAATAGAAAAGCTTTATTATCTGTCAAAACTGGCAACAGAAATTCTTCTTTGACAAGGGAAGAAATATGGTCAATAGAGCAAAGAAATGTCTAATAAGCTAATCAGTAACTAGCTAATTAATTATCCTTGGATTCATTTTCCTGTCCCAATAATTTCATGATGCCCGTAGTTTAAATAATATTATTCCCAGATGTATTTAGATTAAGTTGCAATACAGTGTCTGCACTGTATTGGAATTTTTTCCATTAGCAGCAGCTGTAGACAAATGTAAGTTCTCAACAAAATGTTTCAGGAGACACTACTCACTATTACAGCCCTGTGACTACAGAGGTTTTAATCCTCAACTGCACTCTAAAGTAATTGTTTCTTAATAAACAATTTAAAAAAAACAACAGGAAACATTTACTCTCAGAGAACAATGAAAAACCTCAAGTTGCCAGAAAGAACGTAGTCAAAGATCGGGATTCTAGGATTAGTGTTCATTAGACGGATGAGTCTGAATTATTTGGACACCAGAACAGAGGACATTTTATAGCAGTCCTAGAAAAGAGCTTCTTAACAACTGTGAAGCATGAAAGTGGATGTGTCATGGTCACATCCACTTTCGATTACATCATATAAAATTCATGGTGCACTTATATAAGAGGAAAATGTGAAACGTGAGAAAAATAAACCTGAGAAAAATAAACCTGAAGCAGAAATTGACATTTCAATGTGGTCAGTGACCCAAAACATACCAATAAATCCACCAAAGAAATCAAAAATGGAAAATCCTGAGTTGGGTCAAAGCCCAGATCTGGATCTTATTGAGATGCTGTGATTTGAAATGGACTGAACATGAAAAAACTTAATAATGTTACATCCTAGAGAGAAAAGTGGAGCAAACCTTACTCAGACCTGTAGTGGTTACTCACTAAAGTTGTTTTAACTCTACTCATAATAGTGAGGACTCTACTAGTTATTAAGCCTAGTTTTAACCTCAGTAGGAATTTTCTTAAAATTGTACATTTTTGTTTTTTAAGTGCAAATAAATACATTTCTTTTCTAGGGATAAAATGTGTAAGAAGACATTAATATGTGAACATTTTAAACAATAAACAACTGAACACTGAATGGGGTGCAGCTCAGCTTGGCACTTTTTTCCACCAAAACCTCAAATAGACTTGCATTGTAACTATCAACAAATCCCACCAGAACAAGATTTTCTAAACGTGAAACTTTTACCACTAGCCAATGTCAGCGTCCAAGCAGAATGATTCCCACAAAAGAGCTGCTAACAACTGCTGACATTTTGTCATCAAAAAATAAAATCCATACCCAAACTAACAGGAGTTTAAGTATGTGAACAGGACGTACCAAATAAATGCGCAATGTATGAAGCTTGCTGATTATTTCACACAAATCATGCTACCCAGTCTGCAAACCACACACACATTTCAGTTGCAGTGTAAAAATAAACTACCTTGTGGCTTCTTAGAGCGCTGCAAAATTTGGGGGTTTGTGTGCTTTGCTACGTTTTTCTGTGGTCTCGCTCTGAACAGCAGAGCATTCACAAACTCCAGAAACTTTTGTAAGACATTGCCAGACGGGGTCCACTGATAATGTTGGGCTGGCAGACCAAAACCATTTACTTAGGTATGCTGGTGAAACCTGAAATTTAGGTGCCAAAAGAAAAGTACTCAGAGTACTGTTTAAATTGTAATTACTTACAGTGGAAAAGTATGTAGGCTACCCCGGCTTCCCCTAGAGATTTCACTGCCACGCTTAAATGTCACCAAACAAATTTGATTTTAAGTCAGACATTTGTTCTGATTATTATTTTCTTAACAGAAACTCAAATCCATCCTCTTCTAAAAATTATTTGCCTCTTGTTATATTATGAATTCACCGTGACAAACCACATTAGCCACTCAGGCTACAGGCCTTTATATTCAAGAAGCAATTTAAACAAAACCTGCTTGACAACAGGATGTCGGCTAATATGCTAAAACAAACAAACAAAAAAAAAAAAAAACAGGTCATACCCCAAACTGAAGAAATGTAGGAAACAGAATAAAAATTATGTCACTGAGATCCATCAGTGACATCAGAGCGAGAGCTCTGAATCTGTTTCTAAGGCTTCTTTGGCACTACCACTGTCTGTTTCACTGGCTATCATGTCTTTTTTTTTTATTTGGCAGAGAAGAGGGAAGTCTGGGCCTCCCTACTTAGGCTGCTATCCAACCCTGGAAAAGCACAAGTTAATAGATGGATGGATGGGTAGAAATATTTTTTTTCTTGTGTTCTTGTAGTTTTTTTCTTCCAGACTTTAAATGAGAGACAATATAATTCAAGCGTGATCAACATTTTTCTGATTAATCCAGAGGGTTTATTGGGAACACAAATATTAACACACAGTCACATCAGATATGAGACACCCGATACTCGAAGGAGCCAGTTCAGAACATGCTTATCCTACCTAATTACTCTGCATTTTGTTTTATCAGGTTAAATGTTTGCACAGTGTAACACATGAATTTCCCCAGAAGTGAAAGAAGTAAAGAAAGTGAAGCTAAATCATTAATGCTTGTACTGGAACAGTCTTTCTTAAGTTTCATTCAAGCAGGTTTTAACTAACAGTCCCACGGTTTCTTTACTGATCCTGACCAGAAGGTGGAGCTGTAACAGCTAAAGCTGCAGGTTGGGAGAGAGCATGGTGAGAAAAACTCAGTCTGATTAAGAATCTGAAATCAAAATATCTCCAGATCAAAATACAAACAAAGCCTATTGATATTTAAACAGTTACAGTAGAAAAATCCTTGAGGTGATTTTAAATTAATCAAATTTTCTACTTTACCCTATATATCAAAATCAAACGATGACAAATCTTGATGACCCAGAGTTGTAATTGAGGCTTAAAATCAAAATTTTAAATAAAATGAGAGATATTAAATATTCTAGTGAGTAGTTGTTCAAGCTGAAATCTTTTATAGAGGTTTACAAATCAGTATCTCTAACCCTGAGTCTTTTTAATTCTTTTTTTTTTACTTTTTGGTCTATGTTTTATATTGTAATTTTATGTCACAGACCAACAAAATGAGACATCACCTCAATGATAGCTGCAAATACTTTTTGGTAAGTCTGAAGAGTTAACTGAATGGAGAGTGTATGCAAACTAACATATGACAGTGAATTAACCTAAACTGTCCCTTTGTTCTAATTGTTCTGCTCCTGTAAGGTGAAGTTCTGCTCCTGCTCAAGTCATTTTGAGCAGGAGCTCAAGAGACTTGAGGAGGACATTATTGGAAAAAACTGTCCAATAAGCAGTTTTGTTTTTCAGGACACAACTAAGTGTAGCTCCAATCTTCCCATTAAATCTGAAACTTGCTGGGATCTACATGGTTGATTTTCCTCCACTTGTGGCGTTTTGTATGTTGGCCAAAAACTTTGATGTTGGTCTCATCTGACCAGACAGGCTTCTTCACCAGGTTTACCGTTTCGTCTATGTAGCTATGGGCTGGGATTTTTTTAGATTTAGAATGTCTTTCTTCTTGCTATTCCTCTATGTGGATCAGATTTTGAGAGCAAGCAACTTATTGGTGAACTCTCAGCAAATTTTCTTACCAAAAGTGTGAATTTCTGCAGTTTCTCTACAATGATCAGGGACCACCCTCATGTTATTTAACTCTCTTCTTAACGAGTTGTGGAAGGTTTGTATTTGTGGTGTTAATTTCCCATTTTGTGGCATATAACTTTATTATCTCGGGACATAACTTTACAACCTAACTCTACCTTAAACTCCTCCGTAACGTCCTCTCTGACCTGTCTGCTGTGGTACTTGGTCTTCGTGATTCCATTTGTTGTCTGATGTTCTCAGACAACTGTGTTTATACTGAGCTTAAATTACACACAGGTGGACTCTGTCTGCTAATTATATGAGCTCTGAAGCCAGTCAGTTGCACTAAGATCTATTTAGATGAGCGCCTGGTTCAACAAGCCTGAATCAAAATGGCTCAATTACTTCCTTGGTATGCAAGTACCCAGGCCTGTTGAAGCACAGACACAGTGGCAGTTTCTGATATGGGTGACATGGGCATCCGTCCAGGGCGGCATCTCATCAGGGTCAGCCTGAGACCTCCAGCCCCTCAAATCCCCGTAACGCCACAAGGCCTCACAACCACACCCTCTTTGGTTGAAGTGAACTCTGGTGTGGTTCTAATGCATATGTGAACGCTGAACCGCTCAACTAGAGTTCAGGGCATTCTGGGTAAATACAGCAAGTCTCGCGCTAGCAGGAGAAATGGCTCATGGTCTTTCAGCAAAGACAAAAAGAGAAATCCTACTACTGCTAAAATCGGAGGCCACTCCATCTGTTTACATTTTGTGAAGAAAGGAAGTTGCGCTCATATCTTCTTCAGAGGTTTTCCTCTCGTTTCCTTCAGTGGTTCTTGTTGCAGCGCCACCACAGGCGAGGAGGGGAACATATTTTTCAAAGGGTTTCAAAGCTGAAAATATAACAAATGTTACCAGACTACCAGTGGAGAAAGAACACCCTATAAATGTATTTTATGTTCAATTATGTCTTATAACAGCTTACCATTCACTGTCAGTTGATTCCCTGCTTTCTGCACCAGCATGCTGCTGCCACTTCAATAAACTCCATTTCCCAGAAGGCCTTCAGTGCCATCCATCCCCATCCTCCTGCTCATGTCTGTCTGTCTACCATGTATGGAGTGTTACATCATTTGCACAGACACCCACCTTCCCGAGTGATGACGCAGCCCATGGAGAGTGTGTGAAGAGGAGGAAGAGGAGGAGGAGGAGAAGGAGGAGGAAGGCATGTAGGGAGGGGGGTAGAGAGAGGAGAGAGAGAGAGGGAGAGGAGAGAGGGTGTCCCGTCTGCGCTGAACCTCAGACAGACAGCAGGGAACAGCTGCAGCACTCGCTTCGCCTAGGATTTCACTGCATTGCGATTTCAAATATCAGCCGTTTTCATCCACGAAGCCCACGTCGCGCAGCTCGACCGAGCAAAGCCCCCCGTCCCCTCCCAGCACTAACCAGTAGAGAAAATGGTCGACCGCGAGCAGCTGGTGCAGAAAGCCAGGCTGGCCGAGCAGGCAGAGAGATATGATGATATGGCAGCAGCCATGAAGTCGGTAAGTCCAATCCAACAGTAGGGGGGGATGATGATGATGATGATGATGACTGAGGGATGGGTGGGAATGTGCTTCTGGTTCTTGTTAGCTCCGTTTTAACAGCTACCACACTCAGCAGCTGCTGTAAAATAGCTGTAAATCTCTTTATTACATTGTCATCAGCTGGATTGCAGCTCACCCCCTCAACCCCCATTTGTCCTCTGAGTTGGGTCCAGCCCCCCCCGCCTCCTCCCCCACCCCTACCCCTGTCCTCTGAGTCGGGTCCAGGCCGTGTTCTGCTGCTGCCGCTGCTCATTGGGCGGTGCCTTTCTGTCGACTCAGAGGATGTTACAATGAGAACGTGAGCAGGCCCTGATGTTCATCTGTAGACTGAGACAGGAGCCCGGCATCAGAGTGACGGTGCTGCTGCAATGCATCAACAGATTTCTTAATGTCGTATTCATGATTTAATCTTCCGGTACTGCTCTGTCTCATTTTCCTCCGTTTTGGGAGGAAGAGGTGCTGGGAGCAATGTGAGTTTCCTCAGAAATAAAAAAAAGAAAGCCTATCATCTGCTGCTGCCTCCTCCTCCTCCTCCTCCTCCTCCTCCATCTCCATCACTACCTCACTCCCACTCCTCCTCCTCCTTGTCTTTGTCATAAATTATACACTACTGCTCCTTTTCAACATGTTTTATCCAACCTTTTACTCAAACACACCCAACAGGAGCTGCTCTCTCCTTTGAAACAAAAGGTAGGATTCAGCAGGTTCTCTCTGGAACATTCTCTGTCATACTGCAGTGAGTCAGTTTGAGCAGATTTCTTCCTCTGCCGTCTCCTCGGTGTGCGTCCGATGCAGCAATTCAGAGTCGTTTTCAGGTTAACAGCTCCTGATTTAACGGCGTAATAGCAGATGTGAAGTGGATGACATGGATGGGTTGTCTCATATTAGCTCCTCAGCTCTTATTGGTCAATGCTGAGAACAGATCCTTTGTCTGCTTGCCTCTCTTCCTCCCTTTTTCCTTTTTTCTCCTGCCTCCTTTTATGACATATCAGGATTGAAAAAAATCGCTGTGTCACTGGTACTGGCAACATTCTTGAGCTGACACCCAGATTAAAACCATCTCTGCTAATCGAGGAAACTGTTTCACTACCTTCTGCATCATTTATCATTGCAAGAAGGGATTCCATTCCCTTCTGTCCAATCTGCTGTGTCAGGCAGGTCCAAACTGGGCCCAAACAGCCTCTAACCAAGGGGAATCCCTATGCCATCGTGGCCCACGGAACGGGGAGGCCCTGTCGCCTTCATGTTAGCCTCATGAAAAATATGCTCTAAAACTAAAGCATATTCACTTGAAATCATCAAAAATATTGATACCAGCATATTTTCTTTTACAGAATATTAAGAATTGAACCAATCAATGGTTTGTTCCTGAACTTAACACTGTGGAGTCGAAGGAAGCTTGGACGAGTCCATCCCCTCTCCACCCACTCGCTGTGATGTCACCTTCCTCCATCCTGAGCACTGAACAGTAAATGAGAAATAATTGCTCCTCCCATAGCAAACAGGCATTACCTGTGTTTTCTGTGTGATCAGTTTTAACCCGACCAGATCTACGGTCCGATCCAACCGATGCAGTCAAGTCTAAATATAAAGGCTCGGCTCAGAGTGATGTCACTAAAGGTAAAAAGGTCATTTTGAGCCGGAGAGAAGGTCACTGGGACATGTGAACCGCCCGTGCAGTCATGGTTTTCACTTACACTGCAGCCGGCCCGCCCCCCCCCCCCCCCCCCACCTCCCTGCTCCAGTCCCCGTGAGAGCACATTAACCGTCTCTGTCCCTCCTTCTCTTGCCTTTCCTCTCCCTTCACCCTGCTACCCTTCCTGGTAACCCCCCAACGATCTTGAATATCATTTCTCGCTAGCTGGCATTAGCTGCACACGTGGCAGCTGGAACTACTGGTGCACTAAATGAATGGATTGCCATGGAAACTGGGAATTGCGCATGATGAGTGAAATATTGTTCATCCTCTTTGCCGTGGAAGAAGGACGGTCGGCAGCCAAATGAGTACAGCTAGAAAAATCTAATGATTGCTTCCCTCCAGAGAAATCATTATTAAAGTTCATTCTCAAGGGATCTGATTTTATTGGAATCAGAGGAAAAGGAAGATGTAGATGAATTTGAAGGAGTTTTTTTCCCCTCCTAAATACATTGGAGGGCTTTGAATGTTCTATAGCCTTTTTAAGGGTGTTTTCACACCTGATAGTGCGGTAGACATGGTTCAACTGGGGACCAAAATCGCAACGTTTGTTACATTTTCAGCTGGTGCAGTTCATTTTCACACTGCATTGTATAAAAAAAAAAAAACAAACCTTTAGAAAAACAGTTTCCCGCCCTCGCCTGTGGTGGCGCTGCACCAAGAACCACTGAAGGAAACACTGGGCGCAAGCTCCTATAAAAAGAAATTGAGTTACATTACACGACTCTCGTATTTGTTTTATTTGTATTTACCCAGGATGCCTTGCGGTACAGGCTGCTTCATGCCTTTGGAGTGGACTCTGGTCCGCTTGGCGTTCACATATGCATTCAAACCGCACCAGAGTTCACTTCAACTGAACAGAAGCCTAGGTTTATTAGTGGACCTTTTTATTGGTCACATCACTCCAAACAAACTGTATTTTCTAGGCAAATGAACTAGAGTTGAATTAAAGCGAACTAAACAGGGCTGGTGTGAATGCACCCTTAGTCACTTGAGAAGATTGAGGTGACCCTGCTCCAGCCATGGTTGTCAAAACCCCATATCAGCCAACGGAGGTGGAGGTGAGCAGGTTTTGTGGCTCGACAGTGACCATAGGGCCAATAGATTTAAGGTGAGTCAGTAATTCAAACTCACTATTTATCTCCACCAACGCCTACTGGAAGGGTTGCAGTGAGATGCGTCAAGTCACTGGAATTCAGCCAGAGGACGTTTCATCAATGGAAAATAAAACTGCACTGAAATGATGTGTGCTTAATAAGAGGTTTCTGACTCTTATCTTAGAAATAACACTCAATTGCCCCTGCCTCCTTGGATACTCCATGGTGGCTTAATTTTGTAAATTACTCTGGGAGATCCGAGGTGATTGGGGGCTTGAAGTCAACCTGCCAGGGTTACACCTCAGAGACGCCAAGCATAGTAGTAACAGCCCTGTGTCAGTCGATTTATTTAGGATTTAGCTGACTTTGTAGGTTGAGGGTTTGGCATAGTGACGATTTGACGGTGTGGTTAGGGTATTTAAGGACCATTGTGTCATGCACATACTTTTTTCCATTAACACACATTGAATGAGTCACACTGAAGTCCATCATTGATGGTAAATAGGCTGGGATTGTTGCTTGCCGGAAAACTGAATCAAACTGAAAAGCTCCTCACCCAACCGGTGTGTTTAAACCTAACCTAGAATGAGTTTCGGTAACACTTTATTTGAAGGGGGTTGAATAAGACTGTCATGACATTGTCATAAACATGTCATTACACATGTCATGAACATGAATATGCCTTCATGAATATTTATGACTGTTGTCATAAAGCGTCATTCGGTAAATTATGACACTTTCAATACGAAGTTGACATTATTCAAAATGTCTTTGTTATGACAACTTGACATTAACTAAGAAATCATTACCGTTTAAACTTTACCTTTAATAACATAAAGTTACCTAATTTTTAAAGTGCAATCATTAATTCTTTTATAACAAATTTATATCAGTAATGATTTCTTGGTTAATGACCAGAAGCATCTCAGATATGGACTTCTCTTTGTTGGTTTCATCCAGTTTGTGAGAGAGGTTAGTGATTAATTGGCATGGCTCTTCAGAATTAACAGTATTTGCGCTCTGTCTTTCAGGTGACGGAGCTTAATGAGGCTCTGTCCAACGAGGAGAGGAACCTGCTGTCTGTGGCTTACAAGAACGTGGTGGGAGCCCGCCGCTCCTCCTGGAGGGTGATCTCCAGCATAGAGCAGAAAACCTCCGCTGACGGCAATGAGAAGAAGATTGAGATGGTGCGGGCCTACCGGGAGAAGATTGAGAAAGAGCTGGAGGCCGTGTGCCAGGACGTGCTCAACCTCCTGGACAACTTTCTGATCAAGAACTGCAGCGACACTCAACACGAGAGCAAGGTGTTCTACCTGAAGATGAAAGGCGACTACTACCGGTACCTGGCCGAGGTGGCCACCGGCGAGAAGAGGGCCACAGTGGTGGAGTCCTCGGAGAAGGCCTACAACGAGGCCCACGAGATCAGCAAGGAGCACATGCAGCCCACCCACCCCATCCGCCTGGGCCTGGCTCTCAACTACTCTGTGTTTTACTACGAGATCCAGAACGCCCCAGAGCAGGCCTGCCATCTGGCCAAGACCGCCTTCGATGACGCCATCGCCGAGCTGGACACCCTCAACGAGGACTCCTACAAAGACTCCACTCTCATCATGCAGCTGCTCCGAGACAACTTGACACTGTGGACAAGTGACCAGCAGGACGACGAGGGCGGGGAGGGCAACAACTAAAGGGAAGCCTCACCTCGAAAATCAAAAAGTCAAAAAAATTACGGAGGGCCGGTGGACTTTGGCAGCCGCTTTTGCCGATGAAACTACCGCAGCAGCAGTTCTTTATTTTTCCATGTGTTAAAAGAAAAGAATCAAAAAGAGAGGTGAGAGTGGGAGGTTAAAATCTTAGTTCAAATATATATAGAAATATATATGACAGTTGAGAGGTGGGGCCTCCGTCTTCTTGGTTTTCTCTTTGACATTTGCCAAAAACCACTGATACGTCAGTCAATCAGCCTGAAGTGGTTGTTGTTGGATTGAAATGGCAGCCTCACACTGGCATAGGAACTGATCTTGTTCTGTCGAGATAAGCTGCTTACTTAGATTTTGCGTGATAGAGATGCATTTGAGTCACTTGAGAGAGAAAATGCTTGAATGAGGAATTTTAAAAAAAAGGTCTCACTAAAAAAAAAACTAGGCTGCATTGGTTCCAGTAGTAGATGAATGGGCCCTGAAAGCTGTTAATGTTACTCTGACAAGTAGAAAAATCAGCAAAAATCCCCTAAATTTTTACACGATTATTTCATTTTGAAAATTAGGTCAAAATTAGCTCCCTTACTGCTAATTTAAATGTTTTTGGCATCTTACGGATAAGTCTGTTGTGTTATTGGAGCCACTGATTCTTTTGGAGGCGAGGGTTACTAAAAGGCAGAGACTTAACGAAATGAATTACAAAAATGGAAAAAAAAGACAAAAAAAACCCAAAACAGATTAAAGCAGCTTCAGAGTTTGTGGTTTACTTCTGTGTTCGTTTTATTAAATGCACATGCCTACTATACTGTTTCTTCAGTGTAAGATGACAACAATAATATTGCTTATTCAATATTGTGCATGCTGGTGATGTATTTATATACAGTAGCTTGACTTTATTAACTTATACTGTGGGTGTTAAGTATTCATATGATTGAGAAAAAACAGGCTTTGTCTAATGTTGATTTTTTTTTAAATTTCTAATTTATTTTTTATTTTATTTTTGATTTGCTATACCAAAATGGTGATCGTAAAAATTGACCTGTAACGGGCGTTGCTTTAGTGACATGCAATATGTGTATTTAATTTGTTAATGAAAGAAAAAAAAAAAGGATAATTTACAAAAAAATAGAGAAAAAAAATTAACCCACCAGTGCTTACTTAATCTTATCAACTGGTGTTTTTTTTTTCACTTTGAAGAATGATTGATATATTTTGTTCTTTGAACAGTATTTAAGTACTTTTTTTCTGTCATGCTATCCAGTTTGAAATGACAATGGTGATGTTTCCAGGCTCAATGTTTCTGTTATGAATCCGCCTACATGGACCATATTTTGTTTCTGATTTTTTTTTTTCTATTTGTTTTTATACCTTTTAGCTGTTTTCCTGAGTGACAAAAATATCTTGAATGTGAGTCATTATGTAGCAGTTGCACAAGAACCGGAATAATAGCTATGATAATAAAAAATAATATGACTAAATTATACATGCACCATTTCCTCGGTGGTCCAGTGTATTGTTGTGTCGTCACCCGTGAGCACACTTTGCTTTTAAGAGGAAGCCCTTCGTCCGTAGCTCGTTTTATTGTTTCGTGTGCTTTATTCTCCGTGCCTGTATCGTTTCTACATGCCTCATTTGCGAGTAAATCTCTAGCATTAAAAAAAAGGGAATCTATTATTCTATTTTGAACATGCATGTTACAGTTATGCACATTAAACACTAATGCACAACGTTACACCACAGAGAACGCTAGAAAATTAACTAAAGGTTCAGAACAAACACACACAAAAAAAGCTGCTGAACAGATTTGTCGTTGTTAATGCTGCTACTTCTATAGATTAATAATATATCACATGGACAGCAGGTTGATCGACTTTTATTATGTTTTTAATCGGTGGTTTGATGGAAGCCTTGCTATCAGAAGCCTTAAGGCCAGTAACACAACCTTGTTCATGTGTGCTAATTATGCGTCTCCATCCTGAATCAGCCTGCATGAGCTCACAGTGTGCCACAGCTGCTTTGATTTATTTTTAAATGTATCGAAGCTCCAAAAGCTCAATTTTATTATAATTCAATTTTCTTTTTTTTTTCTTTTTTTTTAAGTTATTTGTAAAAGAAAATCATGTCTTGGACTTTCATTGTTGCTAAGAGACTTTGCATTGCTCCTTTTTTTTGTTTTTTTACTTTTCATTCAGTTTTTTCTGCTTATTTGGCTTTTATTCTGTTGTTTCTGTGATTCAGCATCATGCATGTACAAGTTATGAGGTAGTTTGATCCAGAGGATCTGATCTAATGGTGAAACTGGGGATACAGCCTGTATGGTTAGAGTTTATTTTATTCTTTTGGTTGCCATCTGTTGTCCATTAAAGTTATTTGTTTATTGCTATCAAGCTATATATTCATTTTTTGTCTATTTTAGCCATGTATTGCCATCATTGCGTCAACGCAGCTCATCCCTCTTTATTTAGTGGCATTAAAGGGTAAGTATTATTAATCAAGCAACTGTTACAGTAACAGTTATAATAAGAAATAGGACTTCTGTCTCTTTAAAAACTCCTGTTCTTTGTGAAACTTCAGGAAGTCATTACAATATGGCAATTCTATTAAACCTTTAACAATATTTTTACCAGCGTTGCTTTGAGAAGTAGCTTCTATAATGGGCTCAGCTGATGCGCATCTACCAGTTTGCTAACTGGTGCTGGCTAGTCTGAAGGAGCTGAGGTGTGGCCAGGAAGAAGCTTGGAAACTGCAGCACAGAGGAGGAGCTGCAGCTTGTAGGCGGGGCTAGGTCCACCGAGGCGTTTTTCTCAGCTGAATGGTTGCCATGGAGATTAAAGGATTCCTCAAACATGCATAAAAGAATCAAAGCAACGCTTCAGGTATGTTTTTGATGACATTATAACCTGATGTAAAGTTTTTTTTTAAGTCAATTTTACATAATACTGCTCCTTTAAATCTTCCTTTTGCCCACACACTACCACACAGCAACTCTCTATGACTTTACATAGCCCCCTGTGGGTCAAATAACTTGGTGTGTGTGTGTGTGTGTGTGTGTGCACGTTTGTGTAGGTGTGTGTGTGTGTGTGTGTGTGTGATATGCAGGCGTGCTCGGAGCTGCGTTCAGGTGGGGACCGTGTGTGTTGTGTAAACCTGTGCTGAGTGCTTGTGGGTGAGCGAGTGAGATGGAGTCGGTTTCAGCTGCAGAGCGAAGACACGATCAGCGAACTATAGCACACAAAACACCAAACAATTCTGCAATAAAAAAAAAATCCCAACAACAATAAATCATAAAGTATCATCCAACATCCAAATAACGACACAAGAGCATCGTTCCTTTTCACCTGGCCTGTTGTCAGGTACTCAGAAAAGATCAAGGCTGCAGATCTGTGTGTTTCAGACAGGAAGATGATTGATAAACTGAAGTGGACCCCCACCCCTGACTTCCACCACCTCCACCACAACCACCTTCCGACTGCAGCCTCTCCTGCTGCAGCCCGCTGCACTGAAGCTTTCATGAGATGAAATTCTGAGCTTTGAAAGGTCCTCTTCGCCAACCAATAGCTGAAAGGCTCTATCTGCGTGGCCTCCAATCCCGTCTCTGTTGCTAGGGCTATAATAAGTATCCCACCATCAGCCAAGCTCCTTGCTGCACTTGCTGCAGACACCTTTTGCATCCTGGAATAAAAAAAAAGAAAAAGAAAAAAAAACAAAAAAAAAACAGAAAGCTCTAAGCACACGAGAAGCGTCGAGGTTCAACATCAACCTACATATGTTCCGGTGTTTTAATGCGGTGCAGCGCTTTCTGGCACGCCTGCATAACGGATATTGGGAAATTGTGGTGACATTAGAAGTCCCTAAACACCCAGGAGCCAGCTGATGGATTTGTAATTGGATCTCCAGCAGCTTCAAACTCAATTTAGTGCTTGCATGACAAATTCTTTTCAATTAAAGCGACACTAAATAGATGTTTGTGCTAGGAATGTATAGATTCCACAACGAACTACATTAAACAAGAATTGTAATAACATTTCCCATTATCTTAAGAAATGATTTTTAATCTGGTTTCATGTAAGGGAAAACATTTTGTTCTGGGCTCAGCGCCGACCGGTTCCCATCACAGTCATCACGTAAAGGGAGGTGAGGATGACGACGCACATATTACCCACGAAGCAGATGAGACGAGAACGCCTCTGTGAACTCAGGTGAACGCAGGCAGGTGATTCTTTCACTTTTTGGATTTCAGAAAGTCTTTAATAATCAATAAAAAAGGCAAAAGATTAAAATAAAATGTGTGTTTTAAAAAATAGATTGCCACTGCCAGAACAATAATGTTGAACATTTTTTGTTCTACATGATAAAAAATTAGACAGTAATGATTAGTAGTGATTAACTAATGGGATGCAGGTGTGAGGAGAGAGAGAGAGAGAGAGAATGGCACAGGGGCGATGGAGAGCACACAACCAGGAGAAGTAGGAAAATTAATCTAACAAATAACTAGACACAAACTAGAATAAGAAGGACTGAACTAAACTAAAACAGAACACACTACCAGAATCAATAATTCAAAACTATTGGTTTTACTCAATACTGCTCCTTTTAATTATCATTTTGTGAATCAGAGCAGACATTTTTGCATCAAGGGCTTTCTATGCTGGTAAGGAAAGTGAGGCCTTTGAACTTGTCAGTGAGTAAACATGAGTTAGTAATCACTGCCACTTTAGGAATATTAACATAACTCTGCTGGCTTTCCCTCAGTCTTGTTCTCTGACATTTAAAACACCAGATTATTCGCTTTGTCCCCCATCATCAGTCAGTTTGTGACATTCTGCTGAAAGGTCATCACAAGGTCCAGGCTCTGATGCCGTTGTCTATTGATTTTACTTAACAGCACGCCGCATGATGAAAGCGAGGCCTCGAACCTCCCGCCGCTCATAGATCTCACTGTCCATGTTGAGCCATACATCATAAACCAAAAAAAAGATCAAGGCTGTCGGGGATTACACCGGACCAGCGGCGAGTCTTCACCTCCACAGTCCAAAGACGGATCTACTTGTAATCGACTCCTTATTTGGGCGGCGGCTAGTAACCAAACAGGAAATCAAAAAATGTCGGAATAAAACATTCTGTTGTATTTCTGAGCAGCTCCCCCAAACTAGAGGCGGCAAGTTTTAGAAAAAA